ACCTTGGGTTGAAGTTGGACACAGACAACCGCAGCCAAAAAATTAAAGAGGGGAACTATTTTCCTCTGCTAGAACGAGTGTTCTTTCCACTGCCCCCTGCTCTTCCGCCTTTGGCAGGAGGCTCGAGTGTGGAAATTGTGGGATGTAACAAGAAGTTTTTGTACACGGTAAGGAATGGCTTTAGGCGTGCATCAGTAGCTGGGAGTTGCATTTGACTGAGCACTGCCAGACCTTCGTTCAAATAAATCCTTGCGCTCTTTTAAGTATGCCACCGACCTTGGATTAAAATTTGGTCCAGGTTTTGGTGTTTCTGGAACCAAAACGTCGCGCCGCCTCGCTGTAGCGAGTACGGTCAGAACCCAAAGTCACTGATCTTCAGCTGGTCTAGGCACTGATTGAAGAGTGCTCTCCATTTAGCAGATGAACTGGGGGAACTGGCCTTCTTCCAAGAACGGAGTACCTTCACCACCGGCTCAAAACCCAACACCACGCTCTCAGCGGCACCGTGCCGTTTACCTCTCTTGGTTAAACCCAAATTGATCAGAGCTTGCAGGGCTCCCGGACCACATTCAATGTGCGACGACAAGATTCCCAAGATCTCCCCTGTGCTCAACATGCTATAGAACCCGATCAGCAGCGACACCCTGAACGAGACCCATCCGTGGAAAAGGGCCCAACCACACATCGCGTGGACGATGTGCTCAGGGAGGGGAGGTGCCCTAGACGGGATTTCATTGGTCTGCCACGTGCGCAGGAGCCGCCAGGCTGCCGGCATGTGTGAACGTAACCCAGGTTGAATGTCCTGTACGCCCGCAAGGGTATCGCAGGCCAAGCCTCTGCCGTACCCTTGGCACCAGAGATGCTCTAATGGGTCAAGCTTCGCCTTGTTGGTCGGTAAAGCCAAATTTTCGGTGTGAAGGAACTGGAGGAATTGGTCAACTGCTTTGTCATAACGTTTACGCGTGGATGGCTGTATATACTGTTAACTGCGTCAATGTACCCAGGCGACGACGGATCTTTGCACGTTGCTCTTGCGTCACTCCCTCAAGAACCCTCTTAGGCATTCCTGAAGCGAGTGCGAACACGGGTACCCCACCGACTAGGCTTATCGGCAGGATTGCTATCGGTGTGCACGTACCCCCACAGGCATTGGGAGTTACTGCACAAGAGCAGTGCGCTGATCCGTGCCATCGAGCTCCGGAGCTTCCGGGAGCTAGTCCTGCCCCCAGTCAGGGCGCGCAAACAAACCAAGGAATCGGTGAGGTGCAACATCCTACAGCCATGATGTCCTCGGTGTTCCAACCTCCAACGTAGAGCGTTGAGAATCGCCCTCAACTCCAGCGAGTTAATGTGCTCCCTTCCACGCGCCCACTTCCACCCAGAGACAATGCGCCATTTCCATAGTTTGGACGGGATGGATGCCCGCAGCCGATGAAACTTGACCAACTGAGTAGATGGTGTTGTGAGAAGGATGTCTTCACCCTCTAAACTAATAAGGTTGCTGAGCTTGAACGCCAGTTCGTACTCTCCTGCATCTGCGGGCTCCACTTTGCGCAACGGAAGTCGGATCAGGCGATCCTGTACCAACTCAGACGTCCCTGGGGCACATCGTTCAACAATGGCCTGGGGTGAAAGGGCGAGAGCAGTCCTGACAGGAGCTGATTTACAAGCCAGGCAACCACCGGAACACTCCACAGCGTGAGACGCACATCCGCATAGGACTCCTTCTTCCGATCACCCTTGCTCACACAGTTTGCAGTCTAATGCAACGGGAATCCAAGTAGCACCTCACGCTCAGAAACATTGGGCACTCGGATGTTGCCTCGCTGGTCAACTACACCATGCTTGTCCATGTACTGATACGGAGGGAAGCGGTGCCGATCTGCTTGCCAACGATGAAGTTCATGTTCCTGACACTGAGTGATCCCTGCTGGCTTCCGACCCGGCCAGTCCGAGGGACGTGCCGTAGTGAAGGTCGGGAACGACTGTTCGAGATTGACCTTTGTCCACCCAGCCTCCAGGTAGTCATCAGCACTGTGCGTGGCATCAAGAGTCCAGGAGTGCGGTGTCACTCCCGTGTCCAACCGGGCTCCAACGCCTTCGTGGAGAGGCCATGTAGTCCAATACAAGCGAGGTCGGTTGCACCATGTCAGAGTCCCGGCATCTATGTGGACCGGATCACACCCAAAGTCACTCGACATGATCTCTCTGTCAGTCTGGTCCATAGAGCTCAAGGATTCCATGAGCGCATGTGCAGCTGCCCAGGGGAAGTGCAAACGGAGAAGTTCTCGGATACGCGACACATGCACGTAAAGACATGATCTGGCATCCTTGAGGGCACCACGCCGGTCGGAGTTCAAACCTGAACGCCCCTGACAGGGCGGACCCGCCCCGAGAAGAACGAGGCTGCACTGTGAGAACCGTAGGCACCACTCCTTGACCAGAGCCGCGTCAATCCCCTCTACCGAGTCATAGTGAAGCACTCCCGGGTACTGTGACTCCACCACTCTGCGGGCGTTCGGATTCACCTCGACCGACACGTACCCACACACGGCGACGGCCTGCAGATCAATTGCCACACGTAGTGCGCCAATGCCATCGAAGAGACCCACCAGAAGCACTTGATGCTCGGGCAAGGGCTGTGGAACTTGTCCTCTTAGTAGGCCACATCGGGCAACCATAGTACCCACAGGAGTGAGCCCTGCTGACCTGCAGACGCCCCCTTTCGAAGATGACGCATCACTGCAGGTGACCATGGGGCGCACGTCCAGCCTAAAGTTCATCCTGATCAACGGTAGCAAACCAAGGAACCGCAGGAGCTCCAGTCTGCACTCCGTTGGCAGAGGCCGGTGAGAAGCTCCCGGGGTGTTAAACGATTCAATGAAGCTCCACACCGCATTCAGCGAGCCGAGAACGGGTCTTCGAAACATGCTGAGGTACACTAGGCCTCCGCAGACAACTTGAAGCTGCCTTTGACTGACAACCTTTTGCCCCAACAATTTGAGTGTCAGGCTGAAGTATTTGCACAGCTTGGCTTCTTTGGGGAATGCGAGTCCTAAGACCCCGTCCATATTGTGGCACCTTGTAGTTCGCACCTCGCGGACCGCTCTGCTGCCTTCTTCTCATTATGAGGGACCGACCAAACGAGGTATTCCTGCTGCAAAGCCTGGACCTGCTCCGCCACGGTGCCCTCCTGCTCAATCATGCCAGTAGCCGAAACTTTCTCCAAAAGGTCATAGTTGTCAAGGTACACCCGCCATGACGACCCCGCGGCTGTGAAAGGCCGGCCTTTACGAAGCTCCGTCGACTCCAGAGCTGAACGTTCTTCAAGTCCGTACGACCATTTCACAAGATTCCGGCGCACGTTCTGTGCTAGGCTGACCGAGTTGAGGAACGCCATGGGCAGGACTCTCGAGGCGAGGTACATCACCCTACCCTGCTGACGGGGGGCCAAGCAGGACTGTGGAACAGGCTTGTTGAACGCTAAGTACTTAACCCAGCACTCTGGCACCCGCATAGTGTAAAAGAAACACTTCACATCCTCTGAGGACACCAGGAGGTTCTCGCCAGGCTCGAGAAAGGATGGTCTGGTCTCGTCGCTTCCTCCTCCTTTTGCCTTCTTTCTCACCTTCTGGCGACGGCTTAGGTGACTCCCTGGCCTCCTCTGCCTTCTCGCCCTCTTCGTCTTTCTCGACGACCTCCGCTAGGGGGCCACGCTGCTCCTCGTGCTCCGGCTTGGTCTCGACAGGGTGGATCTCAGGAGCCTCAGCTGCTCCCGCAACGCTCAACCCAGCAGGGGGCTTTCTCGGTCTCCTGAGTCTCCACACCAGATGTCTCCCGCTCCTTCAGGAGAATAGGACCTGCCTCCTCCGCTATAGATCAACCAGTGCGCCCGCGGCACCGCGAAGTGCTTGCACAACAGCTAATTCTTGGCTTCGAAGGAGTAGTCCACCACAGAGGATTTCCCTAATCCTCCGCAACGCTCGACAAGAAGCGCAAAGTGGTCCGCTGAAGAAACCGCACGAGGAGCAGCTCATCCACAATGCTTGAACCACACACTGCAGAAAAACAGGAAAGGTGAACAAACATCTTAACCGCCGGGGACGAAAGATATATATATATATATTGGCCTTCCAACACAACTGGAAAACATTAACACATTATAGTCATATAAATTTTTTGGATCCCATCTATCGGTCTATCTTATGAGCAGCAACAGTGCATGATGATGGTTATGTTGCAGGCCTTGTTCCAATTCAATGTGTGATACATTGTCTACTGACTGACACAGGATGTTACAGGTAATAGGACAAACCAAATGTATTCTATATTTATACTGTTTATAAACATTTCAATAAATATGTGAAACATTATACTATAATTTTGGGGCCCATTGTGTTCCAATGATGAGCTTCGCGGCCCGTTCTGTGAAGAACCAGCGAACCCCATCAACCTGGCAGGCCAACGTTCGAACGATCTTGCGGACCTTGAAGGTGTCCAGAAACCACCTGTGGTCAACTGATTTGCAAGAAGGTCAACCTATAGGTCCTATAACATCCCAGGGTTTCAATTGGTTCACTTCATCCAAAGATTTGAAACGACTAACATTTGGGATTGCACAGAGTTTTCTGATTCTGGCCCCTTAACTTCCTCCCTTTGACACATGTTTGGTGATGCCAAGAGGCATAGGAGGTCGTCTGAATATCACCTCCACCTGGACGGGGGGAAGGAATTTTGATGCAAAACCGTCGAACTTTCCCTCACTTTAAGGCCCATTAGGGCCCTTTGGTACTATTTTTTCGTCTTTCTAGGTCGGGCAATTCGATTCGTGAATTGTATGTTTCATCTACAGTATATATATAATATCATATCGGATCATAGTCGGAGGTGGGAACCCCGTGAAAGAAAAACAAATGTTACTTCTGTCTGATTGTTAGGCATTGCCAGGTGAAGGTCCTTGTCCTTCCGCCGTCCACGCTTGGTTGGTGATTTTTCTGACAAAGTCAAGGAAAATCTGTCAAAGGGATCTGCTGCATCCAGGTGGCAATGGAAGGGCTTGCCTTAGATGCCGATGCCGGTGACGTCATGGAAAGTGATAGAAACTGCCCAGTGAACCCTGACAGACAGAATCTTTACCCCCCCGGAAACTACCATGCAAGTGGAAAATTACTCCTTGGAATCCTTAGAAGACCCAAGGTCGGCTGAGCCGACCACCAAAGAAAAACGGATAATCGGGAGGTTGGACGGTTGTGCTTTGTGATGTTTTGTGTTTAAAACTATTCAGGATAGGGCCAGGAGATCATCAAACCCAAGGTTGCATGCCAAAACATACCGTCATATTTGCCCCCACCCACTGACAGTTGTAAACCAGTAATCCACAAGAAAGGGGACAGTGGTTCGACTGCGGGGACAAGCCGCAGCGTGCCACAGTCAAGCACGACTGAGAAACGCCCAGCTACTTACCAACCAAATTAGCATCGTCAAATGGTCCTGTTGATTTCAGGCTAGGCTATATACTTCTAGCATCTAGGACTTTACCCAAGCAACAGGAAGTCACCTCACCGCATGGCACATCGATGAAAAGATTGTGCCCGCCCACATGAAAGTCACCCCACGATGTTGAACCCCAATGGCACACCATCACCCTCACAACTGGCAACATACACTTCTTGAGCAGGTAGTGTCTGAGGACCTCATTCATTTTGAGGACCTCATTGAGGCGCGGCCACCCCGTCATTTAACTTGCTAAAGCAAGAGCAACTTCAGCTAGCTGAGGCTAGCGGCTAGCTTTCGTGGTTAATCCCGAGTACCTATTTAAAAAGCCTCCCAAATTAAAACCACGTCCGAAACTCTAAATTTGGTTTATATTTGTTCTTAAATTACCACCCTTTCAAGCCGCTACTAAACTACCAACATTGTCAAAAAATGGGGGTAGTTTCTTTTATTAGGTTCCAAAAACAACCGTAACTGTCCACATCTGTCCGCCCTGTGTATCCACCATGACACGCCTTGTTTACACCAGCAGGTTTTCCTTCCTCCAATGGCACGGACTCACGCAAACGCACTTGCCGCACAGCGACATCACCTTTCGAAAGCTTTGGTTGTTAGTCTAATGAAGAATCAGTATTCTAATGAAGGTTTTTAGGGGAAAAGGAAGACCCTTCGATCTGGAGTTTTTTTAAAAATTTTTTGATACGAGTTTAATAAGGGATGTTATTTTTGTTTCTGGATTACTTTTTGGTTTGAAGATCTTCCCAGGTGATCCAATTTTGGACCCCCCCGATTTCAGGGACTCCCTATTAAAAACCTGCGACCGAGCTTCTCTTAATAGGGGGGGGCCGCGTGTTTTTTGATAGGTGGACAGGATTATGCCCTGTGCAGTCAGCTGCGCACTCTTCTTCCAAATGTCATATCTAAACTACGGAAAGGCTCTGACGGGCTGGCTCCACAAACTGGCGAGCATCACCCTTCACCAAGATCTGGCGCTTTCACTCGGATCACGAAAGCGTTCACCGACACAGGCGCTGATTCGGTTGGCTCAAACCGGTGTCCCAACCTGCCGAGGAGCCAAAAAGTCCGAAGAGAAGCAGCAAATCCCGGAACTGCCCATGGATGTCGCCAAAGACCTCCAGGGTCTTCGTTCCAAAAGAAGAGTAGCCAGCTGCAGAGTGCCAATGCCAAACTTGCTAGTAAATATGTTAATATAGATAAAACCATGAATTTGTGTATATCACATACATAAATACACACATATAGAATCATATATAATGTCCATACTGTACGCCTGTACGCATAAAACCACTGCTTGAGAAAGAAATGTGCTGTACGGAATCTGTAGATCCACGATCCATGTAAAACCTTTGGCTGGGAATCACATGGAAAGACTGGTCCGAGCAGGCTTTTTACAGGGCCCACGAGGTTCGAATGTTCCAGATCCCCCAGCTTGACCAGCCTTGGCGGGAGCCCGTACACGCACCAGCGAGGGGTAGGAGGAGAGTTGGCGCTGACATGCCTTTGCGAGGAGGCAAATCTTGTCTGCCTGAGAGTGGCAGGAGAGTTGGAGTGGAACAACGTGTAGAGTGCCAACACGACAATGACAACTGCAAAATCAGATGTTGGAATTGGTACTCTTTCCATCTGAGGATGATCTGGGGCCAAAAGCCTGCAGGGCGATCTAGAGTCCTCGAGGACTGCCTCGAGTCTTTGGGTGGGGGCCGCCCCATCTCTCCGCTTTTTGCCACGATGACGCGTGTGCTCGCGAACACGCACGTGGTCGCGCCTGATTGGACTCACCTTTGCCCAACAAGCGGTCCAGTGCCACGCCGTTCGGAGTCCAATCCCGGTCCAACATGTCGCGACCTGGACGACGGACGGCGAAGACGACGAGGGTTTGGGGTTTGGGGGTGAAAACGCGAAGCCAAGCGAGTTTCGCTTGGCCAAGAAGTGGTGAAAGTGTTCAGAAATCCATATGGCCACTCACCACCTAACAAGTGGCCTTGGGTTTGGCAAAATCACCTGTGCGAACTTGACGTGCCATGACTATATGCTTCGCCAACTGCAGAGTTTGCAGTGGGATTTTATCGGTGAGCTGAGCTACAGTGTTGCGCTGACAAGAGATGAGCATTGATGCCAAGAGGGTATGAGAAATGAAATGAAAAGGGTTCAAGGCAACATGGTGATGTGAAGAGAACACAGTAGGGCAAAAGATGCACTCAATCGATCAAAAACTGAAAGGTTGTTCCTATTATTAGCTGCTCAATGTTATTGCTTAGATTAGGTTGTAAGTGCGAGTTCCAAGGGATTTTCGCCGAGATCAAGCAAGGTCTTCCAGCTCAGTCTCAACTTAAGTCATGACCGGTGTGACCACCCTCAGCTTCTCTCAAAATGCAAGCCTAAGGAATCCAAACCATGAGACAGGCAGGGTGGGGCTCGAAACCCAAGCGCAAGGTAGAAATCCAGAGAAACGAAAGGACAAACAAGACTTTCCCCTGCAAACCCCGCACCCCTCATGCGAATTTCCAAAATATTCAGATTCACTGCTCCTGCATTAGGGGAGGTGTTGCCTGAGACCACCCTGCAAAATGCGCCCATGTCGCTTTAAGACTCCAGGTCGCTGGTAGCAACTTCCTGCGCCATCTCCATGGCAGCAATAATTGCCTGCTTGTCTGGGAAAGCCAAACACATCACTGTCGTAGACATGCAAACAAGGGCCATGCTCAACAAACGGCCGGGGTCGATCGAATTCCAATTCATTCCCAAAGGGGAATATTGATAACTTGATAACTTATGCTTAGTGCCCAATATAGTTTGTTTGTTTCAGAACTGACTCCATTCGGGACTGCCAAAGAGAAGGTTCGGGGTTCATGCATTCAACCAAGGAATTCAGCCACACAAGGGCTCCGCCAATCAGCAAGCACAAAAGCTGTGGTCAAATCCGGTCCGGCACAAAGCCAAGTTGCCCAAACCCAACAAGGGCATTACTACTAGGAGCAAGGACGCTAGGAGCTCCTGGCCTTCCGAACGTAGCGTCCGATTCGATGGATGTCCGGGCATCGCTACGAACCCGCCACGCCTGGAAGGCCACAGCGTACTCCTGACACCGTCGTGTCCGTCCGTTACAGAGTTACAGAGGTCGATGTCCCGATGGCCACAGGTCCGAAGATGTCCCGATTGGCCCAGGAATGTGGCTTCAAAAATGGTCCCTGATTCTTGAGATGGTTGATGGCCAACCTTGATTGTCCTTCTTGATGTCCCTTCTTTGATCAAAAGGTCCCTCTTGGGATCGACCAGAACGGTGAGCGAGCTGGGCCACCAACACATGGTGTGGGTAGCTGTGATGGAAGCTGGGGAAGGCCCACAGATCCAGCACGCAAGTGCTTGGAAATCAGTGAAGGAAGCAAACACAAAGAACAACAGTAGCAGGAAGAAAAAACAAACTGAAGGATGTGACACTACATGATTTCCAAGCCTGTGACCTGACGCACCAAGCGATCATCAAGCGTGTGACCTGCTCACACGACTGTCACTTGGTCAGCATGGTCGACAGCTCGACCAGTCACCCCGTCCTGGGAGGGCCTTGCGACGGCCATGGGCCCACGCCAGCCGCCCACTGCACGACACTGGGGATCCAGCTCCATGTCCTCAGGAGCCCGGGCTGTTCTGCTTGCGATCTGCTTGCTCATTGCGCTCTACATGCGTGCGCTCGGCGCTCGGCTGGAATTTGCCGGTCTTTTGCTTGTTTGATCATTGGCTTGCTCAATACAATCAGCTTCACTATATCATTACACCCAAACACAAACAACTGAGACCGCGCACACATGGCAATCCGTAGAGATCTACGAGCACTGTTCCTTTGCGGGCCTCTAACGTTTCATTAGTTTCACTACCAGCCTCACTACCCAAACTGAGTGTTTTAGAAGTATATAGAGACAAAAACACTGTCACTATAAATATCCATACAATTATATATGCATCATATGTAGTGTAGAGTATATTCGTATCGATTATCTGCAAAAATGCATACAGCATACCTTCCCCAAAACTACCACTAAACAAAGCGACTGACAAACCAAACCCAGTAGACGCAAATCATCTTCCCCTGCAATTCTGACAGCTTCCATGTTGCTTCGCCTGATGATATCCGGTGGTTCGTAGTTTCAACATCAACTTCTTCAGTACTTACAGCACTTCCAAATCAACCTCTTCAAACATGATTGACAAAAGTGACATCTAAAATACTTCTTTCTTTCCAGGTCACAGGTGTGACCTGGCCTCCTGGCCGCCTCCTGGCCTGGTTTTGGTCACCACGACTCAACGCGAAACCTACCTCATGGTGTCCACGGCAGGTTTTCTTCTTCCCAAGTGGCCGCGTTCACGGCTTCGGAGCCCCTGGAGACCGCCGAGGTGTGGTGGTCTGGACGGGTGATCTAAGAAATGGGCGAAAAGACCGGTGGTCTCATGCGCCGGTTGGGCGTGGGGTCTCATATCATTGATCAAAAAGAGGATTTAGTTGGTTGTGCAACCTAAACACATCCATGTTGGTCTGTAATCCATGGTTTGGATCATGTCGAAGCCGCGGGTTTGAGATTGACTCCTCCGCACAAGTACCACAGAATCTCCTAGAACACCCCTGCAGGAAAATCGTCTGCCCTTCCCCTTCTGGTTTAACAAAAGGATATGTCAGTACTCTTTGTTCAGTTGAATTCATGCAGCTTGTCAAAATTGGCGCATCGCCCCTCAACTGCCTGCGATGGTCTTATCATCGGGATCAGGTTTGGCTTCCAGCCATGCATGGAATGCGTGTTTTTTCTCTCTTTGTTGCTTGGCTCCATAGGTGCAAGCACAACAAAAACAAAAGCAATTGCCAGCTATTCTCCCTGATTGAGGTGCAGGAAGCCAACAAAATAAGCGTCTGTGAGATGCCATGTGTTCCAAGAAATGGTGCCTGACGTCCACTTGACAGCACTAGCACCAAGGTGATGACTCTACATGTTTCTCACAGGCCATGGGACCATGGTAACGACAAGTCATGAAATGATTAAATCCAGGGCTGAATTCCCCGAAACACCAGCCAAAAGCCAAGGCTTTCGGTGGTTGCCCATGATCCCTGAAGTCACTTGCTCCTGATGTTTGACCACCTGCATGAACAAAAAAACCCTGAAAGTGGATGGCGCTCTTGACATCCAACGGAGCCTGTACCAAGCTTTTTCCTCACGACCTGAACTGCCCAAAAACAGTAACCAACTCACCTGTTGGTCCTCTAGCCTTCACTGAACCACCCAAGAACAAGTAACAAACTCGCAAACTGAGGTGGGAAGGTGGTCCGTGTTGGCCAATTCTCCTCTCAAGGTCCATCTGAGTGAGTCGCCAGGTTTCTTTGGCAGACCTTCCTCCCTCCGGGCTGCCGGGCACAAAGTCACTCTCAATACCCTGCGGAGTACGGCCCAACATCGGTGCGAGCACCGATGCTAAGGCCTATCTGACCCAACATGGCAACCCAAGGGAGTTGTTGGCAAATAAGTTTCCAAATGGCTTTCAAGAGGATGTGTGTATATATAAAAAATATATACTCTATTGTCAGAAAACTTGGCTCAGGTTTTTTGTATTGAGCCATTTATTGTGTAGGGAAAAACGCCTCTGGAACGAAAAAAACCCAGATGCAGATGGCGCAAGCCATGTTAGGCGAAGAGCCATGACAATGAATGGGAAACTACTAGTCGGGGATGGGTTTGGCGCCATCTACTTTTACAATCCGTTTCGTGAAAGCCCGCTATAAAATGTTTGGCCCTGAAAGCAGCAAGCACGACATTAGATGGCGCAAGCCACCTTTCCAATGATGTGTTTTGAGTGCTTTCTGTGAAAGGATATTTTTTTTGTGAGAGCGGTGTTGCAAAGAAAATTGGCAAGAGGAAACCCATGAAAGCACCATAGATGGCGCAAGTGGCAACACTGTTCTTTTGGAGAGTGGCAACACTGTTCTTTTGAATTAAGCAACAGGAGATGAAAAAAAACATGTTAGATACAAGAAGGACTGGAAAGGATAGGGAAATGAGTTGCGCCATCTATAGGCGCCACCATAATTATCGTCTTTCACACAAGGGTTGCGCCATCTACTTGGCAGTATCTATTGGCTCAACCATCCTAATAATTTTTCACAAAGGTTGTGCCATCTACTGGGCTATTATCGTGCAGCGTTCTGTTACTGGTTCAAGTGCAAGTGCAAGGAAAGGGAAAGGTGAAGGGAAAGGCAAGGGAAGGATAGAGAAAGGAGAAGTGAATGAAGGAAAGGAAAGAAAAGAAAGGCATCCAAGGAGAGGGAAAGGAGACATTAAGGAAAGGATAGCAAAGGAGAAAGGAAGAGAAGGAGAGAGAGAGAGAGAGATAGAATATGAAAGAAGGAGAGAGAAAGACAGTTCAAAGAGAAGAACATAAAAAACAATTGGAATTTAACAGAGAGGTTGTCTACAAAAATCAACGCCTTATATCAGTGTTCTTTGCAGAAGATGGCGCAAGTCTACTCTGTGAATGGGTGGAATGCCATTTATTATGCTTGAGGATGCATAGGTATATATGGTTATTTTTTCACGGTTTTCCGCAGGCGGTTTTGGCACTTTCTGGTGCCATCTACTCGTTTCCGGATATAGCCATCTATTCTGAAAGTGGTGTATACTATGTAATAAATAATATATTAATATATAATATATAATCATATATAATATATTATTAATAAACATCATAGAACAAAAGGGGAAAGAGGCCAGCCTGGCACTTCTGAGTGATTACTGTGGTAGTATGTGTGGAGATTTCTGACGTGGGGCTGCAAAATGAATCCGTGCAATTCATAATTTCTTA